GATTGGCCTGGGTCGTCACACGGGTACTCATAACACGATGCACACGATCTAATTCCATCTCAGACGCTGGGGGCTTATCCAGATATTGATTGAGGATTGCCAACACTGTGGAGCGAAGATCCCGGCCCATTGTAGCTTCAGGGATGCCCCGCAGGCGTAAATTGTTCCACCTGTTGCGGTTCTCGCCATCATCTAGCCGTAGGAATGCTGCTGTAATTTGGGTACCCATATCTGAGTGTGCCGTCTCAAAGGGCCGCCACCCGCTGTGTAAGTGAGGCAGTAGAGTCCTCCACTGTCGCAACCCTGCCATCCAGTGATGTCACTCTGTGCCCAATATCCTGGACCTCTTGCCTGAGGGCTGCCACTATGCGTGCGGCCATATCCTCCAGGTCCCCTTTGGTAGTCAGGCGCGGGAGAATATCCCTCCATTCTCCCCCATCTTCCACCTCTATGTCAGGGCGGGCAGCCGATGTGGCCAGGGAGAGTGCCGGTGAGGGGATCGGTGATGGTTGCCAGTCGCCAGGCCGACTCACCACTTCCACGGGCGGCGCTGTCACTTTACTCCGGGTCTTGGACGGAGTGGGGCCTGCGGCCGTGGAGCGGGTGGACGCCATGTGTCGCGTATCCTCCGGTCGGCTCGCGGTACCCGCGGGGGGAAAAAAATCAGCCAAATCTGACTGTCGGGAACTCCGGAGGCACAGCTGACTTCCCGGCACCCGAGACATCCAGAGAAGGGGGAGAATAACGTCTGCTAGAGCTTAGGCCGGTGCCGGGAGATGCAGAGCTCCAAGGAGTCACGTCCTCACGTCGCCATTGGCAAGCCACGCCCCCTGATAAATAACTTTTTAAATATTTAGGCCTCACACACACACACACATCCTCCGGCCAGGAAACAATCAATTGATGGCAGAAGCTTCTCCAAACACTGTAATGATATCAGCAACACTTCACAAATACAATACAAACTAATTTATAAAACTCATGTTCCGTGACAAGAAATTGTCAAATAACTGGTTCTAACTTCCACCTTGCAGTGCCTAATATCTTAGCCAGCTATGGGGTTAATTGGAGCATATCTATGAAGGGAATTGTATACGCTAACATGGAGTTTTTTTTTTATAACAAGATTTTTGAAAATTCAATGTATGAAACACCTTTGCTTGCTATAGAGTTGGAATAGAGAAAGGGATTTATTACGGTCTCTTAGCAATGGTGTGGCGTCATCTAAAAATTCATCCATTGAATCACCCATCAATTTATTCACCTATCCTAAACCCAGGTTAAAAAAAGCTTACTGCCTTGGAGTCTCCGTCTACTGTAGACCCCCCTTAAAAGGAAGTAGTATGTAGACATACTTGCAAACTAATGGACATACATTTTCACTGGAGCCACTATTAAGTAAAATAAACTGGTTGTTGAATCTACCAGAAGCTAAAGTATCTTATTTGGGACCGACCCTTTGCCTTAAATAAATAAAGCTGCTTGCTGACCAGGTGAAATTGAACTGAAGTTGTGTAATCATTTTTACATCTTTCATTCAGTTCCCATGTTCAGCTTTTATGGTCACAACTGTTTGACATTAACTGGTTTCTTGAATTAAGTTTTCAATATCTGTTGACTTCAGCTTTACAATGTTCTTTTACTACTGGTATATTAGAAACTTGAAGATTGCCAAACTGCAAAAGCATTGTATCCTGGCAATGTAATGTGTACTTCTAGAAGACTTATAAAATGAATCTGTTATTACCTTTTATGAACACAAGGTGTTCCTGCTATTCTTGTCCAGAAGCTGATGTACCGCATTGTTTAGTTATGTGGCCATTTAAAGAATAGAAGTTTCTTGCCACACAGGGATCCTTTTTTTTCAAATTCAGCTTTAAAAGTTTAGTTCTAGTTTGTAGCACTCATTCCTGGAGTTTGTCAGCAAAACCATTGCCTATTTGATATATTTATTTTACAG